GTGGTAGTGCACGCCTGTAATCTCAGCTACTCGGGAGACTGAGGCAGGAGAATCGCTTGAACCCAGGAGGCAGAGGTTACAGTGAGCCAAGATCGCGCCACTGCACTCCAGCCAAGGCGACAGAGCAAGACTCCGTCTCGGGGGTAAAAAAAATAAAAATAAATAAATAAATAAAAAGAAAGAAAATTATCCTCAATAAATAACAAAGATGTTCCATAGAGGATCCCCTGTATTTTCTGACAAAGTCCAGTGCCTGCGATATACTAATGGCTCAACAAATGTCAGTGCAATTGTAACTACCATTGTAAAATCCCAGAATCTAGATTCATCAAAATGTTCTACAGTGAAGCCTATCTTCTGTCTTTTCATAAAACTCAGAATATTTTAACCAGCTGGAAGAGCATTTCTGAATGAAACTAGAAAGTAAAAAACATTTTTGTGGGTCAAATCCTCTTTCGTTTATGGGGCCTTCTCTCACAAGGGGAAGAACAACTGCTTCTGGTATTCTGTGAATAGTTTGAAATTATATTCAAAGAGCACTTCCAAAGGAAGAGCAGAACCCCAGTTTCTAAAATTACACTACCATTACCACAATACTATGCGTGTATGTGTGAGTATTAGTGAGCAAGTCAGGGATTCTGTATTTCACCAATGGCCCAACTCTATGAACAGAAGAAGGATAAGGAATGATTGATGAACTACTGCTCATGTGCGGATGGACTGAAAATCTTCTCTACTCCAGACCTCTCTCCTCTGGGCTCCAGAATATACAGCTATCTTTTTTTTTTTTTTTTTTTCTTGCATGTCCATGAGCATCTCAAAAGCGATGCATCCCCAAAGGAATGTTCCATTCTTTTCCTCAAACTTGAATTTCCTCCAACAATTCAAATTTTTAATAAGATACCAAAACCGAAGACTAGCTACCAAGACCAAAGAATCTCCTTTTTCTTTTACCTCTGATTCCCTTCCCATCAGGCCTTCAATTCAACCTAATTAGCTCTCTCGAATCTGGCTCTTCTTCCCCAGCCCTCAGACCACCCTTTTTTTTTTTTTTTTTTTTGACTGAGTCTCGCTTTGTCGTCCAGCCTGGAGTGCAGTGGCGCGATCTTGGCTCACTGCAACCTCGTCCTCCTGGGTTCAAGCGATTCTCCTGCCTCAGCCTCCCTAGTAGCTGGGATTACAGGCGCGCGTGCCACCATGCCTGGCTACTCAGACCACTTTTTAAAATGAGGTACTTAGTTTAGGTACTTAGAAGTACTCATGAGAAAGTTCTCATAAGTTATTCCAACAACTTCTTAGTCTTTTGGCCTCCGGTTCCTGATCCCTTAAATGATATATTCATTTCTTCATTCTTACAAAATTTTTATTTTTTTAAGAATAAAAATAAGCACTTTGAATATGGGTAGTGAGTCAGAGAATTGCCTATTTTTTCAAATTGTTTATATGTGAAATAGCAAAAGCCAAGCGCTTTGCTAGGTGCTGCTCATTCAATGCAGAGCGAGATTTCTAAAGGATTACAGAAGTTAACAATGAAACAACTGAGCGCAAGTAAGTGCAGCCGGAACACACTAAGTAGCCCACAGGAAGAGTTCTGAACCTCAACCACAAAGGTTTTAGTTGGTTGCCTGGAGGGTCACTTAATTACACTCCAAACTTCACGAAGAAAGGTTCCAGTTTTACCTTATTTACCTCTGAGTCCTACATAGGTGCCTAATAAGTATTTTTGGAATTCATTATACTTAAGCTTAGATCTGGATCTGAAGGATGTGTTAAAATGAGACAAATTGGCGTCGGGTGAGAAAATGGGGTAAGGTGGTGTTCCAAACCTAAACCTCATGGAATATGGGAGAAACTGAAGAAAATTCCCTATAGTTGAAACATTGCTTTTTGGAGGAGTACTGGGAAGGGCAGTGATGAGAGAGAACACCAGTAATGTAGTTGAGGGCAGATTATGTAGGTAGAGCTAAGTTAGCACTAACATAGAATGTGTTTCTGACTGTGTCCCTTACCTCATTTAATGCCTTTAAGGTACCTTGTGGCCTAGCGAGAAGATTGCCGATGACATGGGAGGCCTTCATCTTCTGCATCTGTCCGACCTTTTCAGCTCCTCTTCTGGTCACTCTGTCAAGGGAGCCTGGAACTACTGAGATGTGAAAGGACCAGCCCTATCTCAGATGGTGAGGGTTTCTTTACCCTGACCTCTGCCATGTTTGCTTGGAGCCCCAGTGCTCATCCTTCATGGCCTTTTTAAAAATAGCACAGCTTCTGTCAAGCCTTCTTGAAAAATTAAATTTTTTATTGTAAAAACTTTCAAACATATAAAGAATGTGAAAGAATAGGCAATTATCTGTATACTCATCACCCACATTCAATAATTAACATTTTGCCGTCTTAGTCTCATCTACCTATTTCTGCTGAATCATATGAAATTCACTTGCAGACATTATGATATATCACAACAAAATCCATAAACATGTGTCGCCTAAACATACATCTTTTATTTAACTACAATATCATTAACAAAACTTAAAAAAATCAAGCAATTCTTTAAAAATATCTCATATCTGGTTGGGTGCAGTGGCTCACGCCTGTAACATTTGGGAATGCTGAGGCGGGAGGATTTCTTGACCCCAGGGTTTGGGAGCACCGGTAACAAAATAAGCTCTTCTCTTGTGCCTCTGTACAAAACAGATTTTAAAAAATCAGCCTGGCCTGGTGGCGCGCTCCTGTAATCCCAGCTACTCCGGAATTTTAGGCGGGAGGATGGCTTGAGCTCAGGAGGTTACAGTGATCGCGCCACTGCATTCCAGCCTGGGCGACCGAAAGAAACTCCAAATAAGTGAATAAAAACATCTAAGCATTTATTTGAATTTATCTAATATATTTTTAGAGTCAGTTTTTACGTTTCCTTACGTTCTTTCACATTAGAACAGTCTCCCAGCTGTTTATTATTTCCTCATGACATCTTTTAATCTCTTCCTTCCTGCCTTCCTGCCTTCCTGCCTGCCTCCCTTTCTTCCCCTGGCCTGGGCAACACAGGGAGATCGGTCTCTACAAAAAATAGAAAAATAATTAATCAGGCCGGGTGGTGTGTGCCTGTGGTCTCAGCTACTAGGGAGGCTGAGGTGAGGATCACTTGAGCACCGGAGATCGAGGCTGCAGTGAGCTGTGATTTCACCACTGCACTCCAGCCTGGGCGACAGAGCGAGACCCTGTCTCAAAACAAAACAAAACAAAGTAAGAAAAAAGGTCTAATTGTCTCATAGAATGTCCTACATTCTGGATTTGTCTCATTATTTCCTTATGGCATCTTTTAATTTATTTTTGCTCCTTTTAAATTAGAAGATAAATCTAAATGATTGCTCTTGTGATTAATTTGAGTGATTAGATTTAGGTTAAACATTTTTGCCCAGACGCTGTTCTTTACACTGTACTAGCTTCACATCAGGAGGCACTTGTTGGGATATCCTGCTGATGGTGGAGACCGAGTGGTGCCCCCCAGGGTTCTTTATTTCTCCCTTCACAATTGACAAGTAATGTTGGGGTGGCCCTTAACACCATGAGCATATATTATTTCCCAACTACCTTTTCCTAATGGTTTTAAGGTCGTTAAGCTCATTCGTTGCTTTGGTCTATTATTTTTCTAAGGTTTGCAAATGGTGATTCTTCTAATTCTACCAGTCTTCTGTATTTGTTAGAAGACACTTTTGTCAAACGTGTGGACCTCTTTTCTGCCTTCCTTCGTACCGCAGTCTTTCCAAGAGGTTCCCATGGCAGCTTCACATTACCCCTGTCGTAACAGCCTTGAAACTCACGTAGGTTGGCACTAAATTGTAATTGGGTCTGACGTGTTTGTGCTTTATGGTCTAGAGTGCATTCTACAGCCCGTAAGGTCTATAAATGGTTCTCATACTCGAGCGTGCAACCGAACCACTGGGTTAAAACCCAGAATCCTAGGGCCCACACACAGCGATTCTAAGTAGGTCAAGTGTAGTGCGGACTAGCGAGGGAGGTCGACCTCGAAAGCTGTTATTTTTAAGAAGCTCCCAGGTGATGTTACTGGTTCAGGGACTGGACCAAATTTTGAGTAGCGCTGGCCCAGAAGATGGACTGTATGGTGTTATGGTGGAGAGAGAGAGGATAAACAGACACCAGGCGGCTAAGTACAGGGCAAAGGCAAAGGGATTGTAGGAAGGGATCTACAATTACAATAATTTAGTGAAGTAAGTGGAAAGAGTACATTTGTGATTACCAGCTTTGAGGACGGAAAATAACACCAAAGCAGTCAGGCCCCCAAATAACCACGGAGGGATTCGAACCCTCAATCTTCTGATCCGAAGTCAGACGCCTTATCCATTAGGCCACGTGGTCTCGGGCTAGGAAGCACATCAATTTTTTGACAGAAAATCATCTCCTCCCCATGAGCTGTAAATGTACTTAGTGAAATCACTGTTGTAAACCAAGGAATTTCCAACCCCTGGAAAAAACATCCTGGTTGGGGAGAGACGAAGTTTAATGGTTAAAAAACAAACAAACAAACAAACAACAACAACAAAACAAGTACCGCAATTGGCCGGGCGCGGTGGCTCACGCGTGTAATCCCAGCACTTTGTGAGGCCGAGATAGGCGAATCACCAGGTCGGGAGTTCGAGACCAGCCTGGCCAACACTGTGAAACCCCGTCTCTTCTAAAAATACAAAAATTAGCAGGACGTGGTGGCGGGCGCCTGTAATCCCAGCTACTCGGGAGGCTGAGCCAGGAGAATGGATTGAAAACCCAGGGGGCGGAGGCGGAGGCGGAGGTTGCAGTGATCCGAGATCGTGCCCACTCCAGACTCCAGCCGGGGCGACAGTGCGCGACTCTGTCTAAAAAAAAAAAAAAAAAAAAAATTACTGCAATTGTGTTCGCAGCCGCCGCCGTGCTGCCGTAGCTCTCTAACGCCAGCTCAGCGCGGCCTCTCGCTCGCCGAGCTCCAGCCAAAGGAGAAGGGGGGTAAGTAAGGAGGTCTCTATACCATGGCTCGTACAAAGCCGACTGCCCGCAAATCCACCGGCAGATCCACCGGTGGTAAAGCACCCAGGAAGCAACTGGCCTACAAAAGCCGCTCGCAAGAGTGCGCCCACTACTGGAGGGGTGAAGAAACCTCATCGCTACAGGCCTGGTACAGTGGCACTCCGTGAAGTTATGATTTGCAAACTTCCCTTCCAGCGTCTGGTGCGAGAAATTGCTCAGGACTTTTAAAACAGATCTGCGCTTCCAGAGAGCAGCTATAGGTGCTTTGCAGGAGGCAAGTGAGGCCTATCTGGTTGGCCTTTTTGAAGACACCAACCTGTGTGCTATCCATGCCAAACGTGTAACAATTATGCCAAAAGACATCCAGCTAGCACGCCGCATACGTGAAGAACGTGCTTACGAATCCACCACGATGGGAAACATTTCATTAGAAAAAATTCTCTTCTTCCTGTTATTGCTAGTTCTGAACGTTATTTTTTTTCCCATGGGGTCAAAAGGTACCTAAGTGTATGATTCGAGTGGAAAAATAGGGGACAGAAATCAGATATTTGCAGTTTTTCCATTTTCATTTGGGTGTGAATTTTTAATATAAAAGCGGAAACGTGCAGCATTAATGCAAGTTAAGATGTTTCAGTGAACAAGTTTCAGCGGTTCAACTTTATAATAATTATAAATAAACCTGTTAGATTTTTCTGGACAATGCCAGCATTTGGAATGCTTGAGTTGAGAGCTGGAGAGGCGAAGGCAGAACCAGACTGCTTTCCACATGCAGGGAACCACCACTGCCTTACGATGCTTCCAGGTAAAGACTGCGGGTTAAACATAAGAATTTACTTCTGCATACTCCGCAAATCTCACTCAAACAACACTAAAATATACATCCAAATAGGGAGAGGAGATAACAGAAACAAAAGTTTGTCATCTGGAAAGCTAATTGAGGAGTCGGTGATTTTGAGAGCCTTGAGAAAGCTAAATCCTAAACCAGGAGTGGGAAAAGCAAAGAGACAGTAGATTTTCACCACGGAGCCCCCATTTATATCCCTTTTCCCTATGCCAGGCTCGAAAATTGTCAGTACAGCTTCGTCTGGAAACTACCTGTGTGAACTGAATTTAGCCTTCCTCCAAACCCCCAAGTTCATATGTTGAAGCCCTAATCTCTAGTACTTCATAATGTGACAGTATTTCATCTGCGAAATGGGGAAATAGAATGAAATAATGTTTATCAATAAGTAAATAAATAAATAAAGGGAAAAAGAATGTGACAGTATTTGGAGATAGGGTCTTTAAAGGGGGTAATTAAGGTAATTTGAGATCATGAAAGTAGGGCCCTAATCGTAAGGGCAGGTGTCCTTATAGGAAGAGATTAGAACACGGACACACAAAGAAAAAATCATTTGAAGGCAGAGGGAGAAGATAGTCACCTGCAAGCCAACAAAAAAGGCCTCAGGGGAGAAAAAAAAATCAAACAGGTAAGTTCTTTGATCTCGGACTGCTAGTGTCCAGAAATGTGAGAAAGTGATTTCTGTTGTCTAAGCCACCCAGTCTGTATTATTTGTTACAGGAGCACAGTTAACTAATACACTGTCCTTCCTCCATCTTAGAAGGCTGGACGTTTCTTTTCTTTTTTTCTTTTCTTTTCTTCTTCTTCTTTTTTTTTTTTTTTTTGAGACGGAGTTTCGCACTTATTGCCCAGGCTGGAGTGCAGTGAGTGGCACGATCTCGGCTCACCGCAACCCTTGCCTCCTGGGTTCAAGCGATTCTCCTGCCTCAGCCTCCGGAGTAGCTGGGATTACAGGCATGCGCCACCACGCCCGGCTAATTTTGTATTTTTAGTAGAGAGGGGGGTTTCTCCATATCGGTCAGGCTGGTCTTGAACTCCCGACCTCAGGTGATCCGCCCGCCTCGGCCTCCCAGAGCCAACGCGCCCGGCCTTATTTTCTTGAAAGAGCAAAATATCGGGTTTCTAGGCTGGAACAGTCATTCTCAAACTTTTTCCTACATCCCAATCTCCTGGAAGGCTAGTTAAAACAGACTGGTGGGACCCACGCCCAGTTTCTGATTCAGTAGGCGTGAGGTTCCGCTTTTCCTAGCTTCCCTGCTGCTTCCGACCCTGAGGCGCTTTTTGAGAATAGCTAGGCTGGAGGAAGTTAATCCACGAGGCTAGAGGAAAACGGTGAGTTCAGTAAATATTAGCGGCTTGTTTTGGGTTATTTTTGTGAACTGAATGGCTCGTGTACACAATAGAGACCAGAGGGCCCGTGGATTTGGACTGAGAAGTGAGCCTTTAGGCAAGAGATATTATTCATGTTAGGATTTTGAATCCCAGTAGGTTGAGGATGGGGCGGGTGTGCGCATAGGTTTGAGTGAAGTAAGTGCTAGCTAGGCCAGGTCCTGCGGGGCAGTGCAAGCCTGGAATTCTCTTCCTGAAGAGGGAGTCGTCTAGCGCATTTACAGAAAGTGGTACTACAAACTTCATAACCGTTCTTATTACTGTTTCACCGCAAATGTAAACTTGAACTTGAGAAACAACTGTTTTTCATATATGGAGCATTTATTTGGGTTTGGGGTTAATGTTTAATCCGGACACTCCCTTATTTTTCTCAACAAAGCCTTAGCGACACTGTGAAAAGAGATCAAATCAAATAATGAAATTGGGAGGAAGATAAGATTAGATTCTTACTTGAAAAAGAAAAGCTGAAGCTCCAGTGACCTCGTGGCGCAACGGTAGCGCGTCTGACTCCAGATCAGAAGGTTGCGTGTTCAAATCACGTCGGGGTCAGGGGTGGTTGTGTTTTGGAAGGGGGCAAAATGATCTGAACTGAGATATACTTAGTCAACTCGAGATAAAGAACTCAAGACATTGACAGAAAGAACACGTTTTGTTTTCTGCATTCACAGATGAGTGAGATCTGTCTCTTTTGCCCTTGGCTTGCTGTTATGACTCTAAAATGAATTCACCTCGTGGACAGTCTATCTTTGGCCACCTCTTCAAAGGGAGATTAAACGCTCTCTTCTGGCATTAGATAACTTTTCCTACACGTAACCCCCTAAAAGTTGGCGCTTTTTCCATGCTCATGCCCTGCCCTCTTTGCTTCCTGACTCTTCCTTTGCTTATCTGCCTGCAACACTTCATGCCTTCTCAGTTTCATCCCCACTCGACCTGGAGTCAGGAACTTGCAGCCATCCTGGACATTACCTCTTCTTCGCTTGGAGTCCCAAGTTGTGCTGAGTTTTATCTCCTCATATTTCATATCCCATTTATTCACTTCTCTCAATTATTACAGTGGCCTATTTGCTTCCATTTATTATCTCTTGCCAAGGATATTGACATAAACCTTTTTTTTTTTTTGTCGCCCAGGCTTGGGGTGCAGTGGCGGGATCTTGGCTCCCTGCAACCTCTGCCTCTCAGGTTCAAGCAATCCTCCTGCCTCAGCTTCGCGACTAGCTGGGACTACAGGCATGCACTACCATGCCCAGCTAATTTTTGTATTTTTAGTAGAGATAGGGTTTCACTATGTTGGCCAGGCTGGTCTCGAATTCCTGACCTCAGGTGATCTGCCTGCCTCGGCCTCCCAAAGTGCTGCGATTACAGGCATGAGCCACTGCGCCCTGTCCACTTGTCATTTTTTTTTTTTAAGGAAGCAAGCATTTTCTATTTTACTGTATTCCTAAAAGGTGTATAATTAGAGTTCTGTTAAAGTTCTATACTATTATTGCACAGTAATTATTTTATTGCTCCAGATTTCACTGTTAGTAATTGTATTGGTTTGCTAGGGCTGCCATAACAAGTACCATATACTGGGAGGCTTAAATGACAGAAATTTATTTGCTCACACTGATGCCACCTTGGCAGAATTATAAGTAATGACAGAAATCTAACATGACTGACTCCATCTTGCTTCTACACCTCATAAGCTAAATTGTTTTGTTTGTTTGTTTTGTTTTTTTGCTTATTTTAGGGCAGAGGCCAAGAGAACTACAAGAGGAATTCAGTTTACAGATATACTTTGAGGCAAGGAAAACTGGCCTCCACCTTCTTTTGTGGAGATTGAAGCTGCATTCACAAGAATAGGTAAGAATTATGGTAGGGTCCTGAACTTTGCTCAAGAATAGGCATAGACAATAACCTGCCATTGCTTAGCTTGTTTTTCTGTAAGTTTTTTACCGCCCCAGGGTCACTAACTGGGGGTTGCAAGATTTATAACTTCCCGGCCAAGAGCGGTGACTTATGCCTACAATCCCTGCACTTTGGGAGGCCGAGGTGGGTGGATCACCCAAGGTCAGGAGTTCGAGACCAATCTGGCCAACATGATGAAACCCCGTCTCTACTAAAAATACAAAAAATTAACCGGGCGTGGTGGCGCCTGTAATCCCAGCTATTTGGGAGGCCTGAGGCAGGAGAATCATTTGAACCCAGGAGGCGGAGGTTGCAGTGCGCTGACACCACGCCACTGCACTCCAGCCTGGGCAACAAGAGTGAAACTGCATCTCAAAAAATAAAAACAAAACGAAAACCTGGCATTTGAGACGTTTCTGAGATTTCGCTTTTCAGCAGATCAAGAGATGCCACTTGATCCTGAGACCCCTGTACCCAGTACAGATTTTAATCCATACAATATTCCAATAAAGAAGAGTAGAGCATGAAATGAACTCAACTTAAATTTGTGCAGAAGTGACTGAGTATTTTTTTTTTCTTTTTTCTTGAGATGAAATCTTGCTCTTATTGCCCAGGCTGGAGTGCAATGGTGCAATCTCGGCTCATTGCAACTTCCATCTCCCAGGTTCAAGGGATTCTCCTGTCTCAGCCTCCTAAGTAGCTGGGATTACAGGCACCTGCCACCACGCCCGGCTAATTTTTGTATTTTTAGTACAGACAGGTTTTCACCATGTTGGCTAGGCTGGTCTCGAACTCCTGACCTCAGGTAATCTGCCCGCCTTGGCCTCCCAATGTGCTGGGATTACAGGCATGAGCCACTGCGCCCAGCCTGTGGCTGAGCATTTTAAAGACAAAATGAAGAAACAGAAAAGGGGGTGAGCAGTGCTCAGTGGAGTGAAAAATTACAAAAATCAGAAAGAAGAGATTAGTTCATATGAAACCCATCTACGTTTGCTAACTGGTGCTGACAGAAGTTAAGCTCCTACCTTCCCACAGAAGTGGGTGACGGGCTTTATCTTCAGGTGTTGTTTGGAAAAACAGTACATTCTTTTGGCAGTCTTGATTTTTCTCCAGCAGGCACTTTAAAGGGGACTACGGTCATCCTAGGGATGTGGTCTTGAGCTGTTAGAAATCATGTTAGTGTCTTTAGTCTTTAAAGGTCAAGGTTGAGGCTTAGTTGAGAAGAACGTACAGAAGAGCCTGACTAGAGTTTGATCAAGGAGAGTATCGTTTTCGTTTGACACAGCAGACATAGAGTGGCAGGCCAGGTCTCCCTAATGGCTGAACAGGCAGGCCTCCATGACAACAGTGTCAGCACTGACTGAGTGATTAAGTTAAATATTAAAAGAAAAAAAAAAAAAAAAAGCCAGTGCCCTTATACAAAGGCTATGTGTCTTTAAATGTATGCACATTTACATGTAGACATATAGCTTCGTATGTCTTTAAATGCATGCCAAGAGTATGTCTTTAAATGCATGCACACTTACATGTAGACATATAGCTTAGAAGGTATATAAGCTCTGGAAAACTTTGTGATTTTGGGTTGGTCTGGCCATAATTTCCCAGCCTTTTCCGTGTACCCCATTACAAAAATAAACTCCCAGCCAGGCACCGTGGCTCACATCTGCAATTCCTGCACTTTGCCGGTCACATCGCCTGAGGTCAGGAGTTGGAGACCAGCCTGGCCAACATGGTGAAATCCCATTTCTACTAAAAATATAAAAATTACCCGGGCATGGTGGCATGTACCTGTAATCCTAGCTACTTGGGAGGCTGAGACAGGAGAATCACTTGAACCCGGGAGGTGGAGGTTGCAGTGAGCCGAGATGGTGCCACTGCACTCTAACCCAGGCGACAGAGCAAGACTCAGTCTCAAAAAAAAAAAAAAAAAAAAAGGCCATAACTGAGGCTTTCACTCAACAGCCAAGTGGATGAGCTTGATTTCCTTCCCGAAACTCAAACTTTCTCTCTCCCCTCCCCTGCCCTCCCCTTTCTCCTTTGTCACCCAGGCTGGAGTGCATTTGATGGGCCATCTCCACTCACTGCAACCTCCTCCTTCCGGGTTCAAGCGATTCTCGTGCTTCAGCCTCCCGAGTAGCTGGGATTACAGGCGCGCGCCACCCACCACGCCCGGCTAATTTTTGTATTTTTAATAGAGACAGGGTGTCACTGTGTTGGGCAGGCTGGTCTCGAACTCCTGACCTCAAGCTATCCACCCGCCTCGGCCTCCCAAAATGCTGGGATTACAGGCTTGAGTGTCTTTTTCACTTCGAAAGTCTCCAAGGGTCACGTATCAGCAGACTTTCTGTTTACTTCTATGTTCAAAGGTTTACTGAGAATATTTAGACATAATATTTGATTGGATTTTTAAAACATTATAGACAGAGAACATACATTGTCACTTTTTAAAGGACGATATGATAGATAAAAAAGAAAACAAACCCATGCAATTACTTTTAGCACCGGTAGTTCAGTGGTAGAATTCTCACCTGCGGAGAGGGAGATTCAGTTTCGGTTCCCCCTCGATGCAACTGTAGTTTTTTTTTTTTCCACTGAACATTTTCGATGAAAATCGCAAGTAAAAAATGTCTGGACGTAATAACGACTCCCTCTGGTATCCAGGAATGGCTGAAATTTGCCCAAGCATTTATAATTTCACCTTTATAAATTATGCCAATTAGCCTGCACTTATTTTTCCAGTAACTCGAAACACGCTTCCGTCGGAACTCCGGAGAACTTCAACCTTAGCTGATTCGAATGTATCGAGGAAGAATTCTAAACTGCTGGTGTTTAGAAGTGGCGTGCAGCCCCATATGGATGGCCAGTGTGCACTTCTCATTCTCCAGGATAATTTGGCAAAGGACAAGAAATCATTTAAAGTTAGGAAGATGCCAGAAATTGTAGCCTTTAATACATCCATGACAAGAGTGCTGTTGTGGCAGCAGAGTGGCGCAGCGGAAGCGTGCTGGGCCCATAACCCAGAGGTCGATGGATCGAAACCATCCTCTGCTATGTGGCGTCGTATATTTTACTTGAAGACTAGGACACTGCAAAATAGGAGTTTTAAATGAGGCATGCTAAACGTTAGCGGACCTGACCCGTGTATAAGAATCCACAAGGTATTCTGGTGGAAATGCAAATTTGCAGTCTTCAATGTCTGTAATCCTACTAATTAGGTGTGGAGAGCCTTTCAGCCAGCCTCTTAGATTTGGAGACCATTTAGGGGTTGGCGTGTGGCCCCCTCTTAAAGTCTTTCGTACTTCCTCCATCAGACAAGTCTTGCAATTTGCAATATCTCTTTTAGCCAATATCTAAATCTTTAAAATTTTGATTCTGTTTTTTAACCAGGAAGAGAAACTTTCCAGAGTTGTTATCTTGTCCAACGAATTTAAAGATGTCTGTGAAAAGAAACATATATTCCTCATGGGAATATATCCAGGGTGCTGAAGGAGGCACGTAGTCGTGGCCGAGTGGTTAAGGCGATGGACTTGAAATCCATTGGGGTCTCCCCGCGCAGGTTCGAATCCTGCCGACTACGGTGTGCTTTTTTTTTTTTTTTCTCTTTCAGGTAGAGGAAATGCGGTACACTACCTGTGCAATCACACAGAATAACATGGAGTAGTATTTTTTATTTTTCTGTTATCTTTCTCCATAAAAGTGGAAGCAGATAGTTTTAGTTCTTTTGTATAACAAGACTTAGAGAAAGATTTTCAAAGTGTTACATGGGCAAGCACTTGAACACACAAGTAATTTCTGACACTGCTATAGAAATGATGGAAAAACGCTCAAGTTGTTTTGCCTTTAAGTCTTCTTGAAATTCTGTCTCCCTATCTGAAATTCAGCTCACGTCTGACTTCCAAAACCGTGCTTGCCTTTAACTTATGGAATCAATATCTCAAACAGATCCTTTCTGGTTCGCCTCCTATCATCCTACTTTCAGAGGCCAGAATTGCAGAGGAAACACCAGATAGAGAATCTCCAAAACTGTTGCATAGATGTTTTAAGAGATGTCTAAGTGTTGATATTTTCTTTTATAAACTTAAGTAGATTAAACGTATCGTGACCTAAAAGTTCAGCAAATGCACAGTTCTGATTAATCAAGGAACGCTCCTATTCATAATCTCCGTGGGCAGATCCGAACAAGTTTTGGGAAAGGTGAGTTCTGTTCTTGCTTTCTGCCTGCCGGAGCAGTTTTGTTGCTTTCTCGGAATCTGGGACTATGCACCTATTTTGAGAGGCCAAAGTAAACAGCACTCTCAATGGATCAATTCCACGTACTACATTCATGCTATCAAAAATATGCTAGGATGGTACTGTGGTGTTGGCCCCATGGTGTAATGGTTAGCACTCTGGACTTTGAATCCAGCGATCCGAGTTCAAATCTCGGTGGGACCTCTAACACTTTTAGTGCTCTTTCCTTCCCTCAAATTAACATTGTACACAGAAGAGCGTGCACCTGATCACTTAAGCTCGTTAACATCCCATCCCAGTAGGCAGCACGATGCTTCCCTGCAGAACAGCATCCTCTAATTTTTCACTTGTAATTTCACATCTGTCCTCTCTTGCCTCTCCTCTCTTGTTGGACGCAAGTTCCTCAGATTTAGATTATCATATGCAAGTTTAAGCATACGTGTTACACCTACCAGACCTCAGTTCTTTCTTTTTTTGAACAATACTCAAACAGCTTCAAGTTTTATCACTTTCTAAGATGGACTTGGTCCAGATATGTTTGTAGTGCATGTGAGTCTCTTGGAGCCTCTACTATATGGGATACAGATAGTATTAATTTAATAAATATTAATAGAATACTGTATAGAATATATGACATGCTCTGTAATCAATATTTATAGATATTCATGAAATTGATAATGGAAGGTGGCCCCATGGTGTAATGGTTAGCACTCTGGACTTTGAATCCAGCGATCCGAGTTCAAATCTCGGTGGGACCTGTTCTAATTTTGGTGACCCATCCTTCGTTCTTCTCTTAAATCGCCAACACACTCTGGTCTGTGGATTTACCTTCTCATTCGCAGTTTCTTCTCTCGATTAGCAAGTGTCATGTAACTCCCGTTTGTCATTTCTAGCTTCTGACTAGCATCATGTCCTTGTACATTCTTGGTCTTTTCTCTTAGCATCCACTCTTCCCTGACTTCCCAAAAGCAGCCAGGGTGTTATTTGCGTGCTCAGGGTGCTTAATGGTTTATGTGTCAGAGGCCCCCCCTGCGAATCTTTTCTTCTTTGGAGGTCCCTCAAAATGCAAGGATTTACATAAGAATTGTAGTAGCAAGCGCCTCACGTAAGGGTCCCATAGTGTATGGGTTAGCACTCGGGGTTCTGAATCCAGGAATTTGAGTCCAAATCTCTTTGGGATTTTAGCAACATCTTGGTCAATTTTCCTCTGTGGTTCTCTTAAATCATTAACCCACCTTCGAGGTGTACCCACTTGGCTGCAAGTGCTGCCAATCAACATGGCACCCTCTCCTGGAGAAAACTGTCTCTATCTACTGACCTCTGAAATTTTAGCCCTATTCCTATTTTACTTGATGTCTCTTTTTGCCTTTTTGCCCAGTTTCTCAGATTCTGATAAGTTAGAATCTTGGCCCCAGTGATTAAGAGTTCATGTTTTACAGCCCCCAGTCTCAGTTTCTTCCTTTTCTAGAGCTTGTTTAAAGCGTTCCATCTGCTTCTAATTACTAACACTGTCCTTAAAATGTTTGCACTGCACAGCACTACAGTTGTACACATCTTAGAGCCTCTGCTATCTCTACTCAGCTGGGGCTCCACCCAAACTCCTTAAACTAATGCATTGTCCACATTATTTGACAGATTAACTGTTACATTAAAAGTACACATCAGTCTTTCAGTAGGGATTCAATTTCAATGTCCTAGTGACTTAATGGCTAGCACCTAGGCTTCAAATTTCAGTGGACCTGTCTCAGTTTTGGTGACCTTGCTCTTGAGTTTACCCAAATGGAGAAGTACGCTTGGGCATGTATAGATAGTCTCACATACTTGCACTTGTTTTCTGGAGCAACATCCAGCTTCTTGCTCTTTCCTCTGGCTACTGAAAGTTGTCCTCTGCCCATCACCCTCATGTATCCCTAGAAGCTCTTCTTTTGAAAGCTTTGCTTTGCTTTGCTGGAGCCTGAAGTCAGTTAGATCACTGTAAGTTAATCATCTGCTGGGATGAGTAAAGGTTCATATATCAGAGGACCCACCTATGACTTTTGTCTTCTTCAGAGCTCACTCCGAATGCTCTGCATGCTATCTTTGCACTTGGGCATGAAAATGTGTAAACCACAAATTGAGTCATCTGAGAGCCTGCATTTTTCTCCCCATGCGAAGCTATTAGTGTTCCTTACATTGAATCTATGCCCATTTTAAAGATTAACTGACCAGATGCAATAGTATACAAGTCTTCACTAGAACCTTTGTTATACAAAGGTACCATGGTATAACGGTTAACACTCTGGACTCCAAATACAGCAATCCCAACTGTCAATGGGACTCTAAATTCCTTCTGTTGACTCTCTCTACTGTTCAAAACGTATCCTCCAGGGCTCTCAATGACAGCAAAAGTAGAGCTCCGTGAACTCCTCTGGCCTCTAAAAATTGTTCCAGAAAAAAGCCCTGTAGACTTCCTTCTGCCTGTTTAGCCCTATTTCATGGTGCTATCTTAGTGACTCTTTATTAGCTTCCTATTGCTTACCAGAAATTTGGTGGTTTAAGACAATATGAATTTATTTGTTGTTATTTATTTGTTTATTTATTTTTGAGACAGAGTCTCGCTCTGTCGCGCAGGCTGGAGTGCAATGGCACAGTCTCATCTCACTGCAACCTCCGCCTTCCGGGTTCAAGCCATTCTCCTGCCTCAGCCTCCTGAGTAGCTGGGATTACAGGCGCCTGCCACAACACCTGGCTAATTTTTTGTATTTTTAGTAGGGACGGGGTTTCACTATGTTGGCCAGGCTGGTCTTGAACTCCTGACCTCGTGATCCGACCACCTCAGCCTCCCAAGGTGCTGAGATTACAGGCGTGAGCCACTGCGTCTGGCCTATTTTATTTATTTTTTAAAATAGGATCTCACACTATCACTCAGGCTGGACTGTAGTGACACAATCATAGCTCATTGCAGCCTCAAACTCCTGGGTTCAAATAATCGCCCCCCTTCAGCCTCCCAAGTAGCTAGGACTATAGGTGCACACCACCATCCCTGGCTAAGACAACATCAATTAAATTTTTTTTGCCGTTTTGGATATCAGAAGTCTACAATAAAAGTATTAGCAGGGCTGTGTATCTTCTGGAGACATCATGAGATAATTCATTTTCCTGGCTTTTTCAGCTTCTAGTAGTCCCTTCCTTGCATCACTTATTGCTTCTAAACTCACATTTTCTTCTCCTGACTCTGAAGCTCCTGCCTTCCTTTTATAAGGACCCTCTTGATTACATTGGACCCACTTAGATAATACAAGATAATCTCCCCATCTCAAAATCTTCAGTGAAAATCCATTTGCAAAATTCCTTTGACCACTTAAGGTAACATAAGGTAACATATTCACAGGTTCTGGTGATTGGTTGTGGACCTATTTTTGGGGTCATTATTTAGCCTACCATACCCTCTATAAATAAATAGGAGGCATTTGTTAATGCTCTTTAGATTTAATCTATTGGTCATGGCTTTTTTCAAAAAGGTAATGTATAGATTTACACCAAGCTTATACACAAGTCTTTCAATAGGAGAATCTTACGGAAAGGGTGTATGATGTCATGATTAGCATCTGAACTCAGATTTGGCAAATTTATGACTATGATGTCTGGTATTTTTCTCAACTATACTCCCTTCCAGCCATAGGATCCACTGCTCTCTGGCTGATCAGGCCTGTCTAAATATATTAGTTATCTGTTGTATAAGAAATTGCCCCCAAATTGGCAGCTTAAAACAACAGACACATATCTCACATATCATGAAAGTGATATCCTATCACATTTCCTATATTCTGTAGGTTAGGAGCAGGTCACTAGATCCAGCCAACATTCAAAGGGAGGAGATTACACAGAAAGTGTGGCCAACACACTGTTAAACACTCTAGAGACCTTAGGGCAGAATAAGCCCCAATTGGAACTGGTCTAATGCTATGACTGATACTTTGCAGACACCTTCTTTTGCTTGGTCACTAAGTGCTGTATTGGGAGCAATTCCTGGTACCTTTCAATTGGGAAAATTATCTCTTGCCCTCACCACTTTTTTTTTTCTTTTTTTTTTTTTGAGACGGAGTCTCTGGCGTGGAGTGCACTGGCATGATCTCCCCCAGGCTGGAGTGCACTGGCATGATCTTGGCTCACTGCAAGCTTCGCCTCCCAAGTTCACGCCATTCTCCTGCCTCAGCCTCCCGAGTAGCTGGGACTACAGGTGCCCGCCACCACGCCCGGCTAATTTTTTGTATTTTTAGTAGAGATGGAGTTTCACCGAGTTAGCCAGGATGGTCTCAATCTCCTGACCTTGTGATCCGCCTGCCTCGGCCTCCAAAAGTGTTGGGATTACAGGCGTGAGCCACTGCACCTGGCTGCCCTCATCTTTTTAAAACTAGTTTTCCTCTGTGTATCTTCCTTTATAATCAAGCCAGTATTGAAGAACTCGACTGCTACTCTCTTTTAATATCATGCCTGAACAAGTGAATTAGAATCTATACGGATAATGCCCTTACATGAATACTTCTCAAAAGTTCCCTATGAATTCAAATGTGGAGCATAGAGAACCACTGAGCTAATTTTCCTGTGACCACCCTATTTAACTTGCCACCACTCCTATGCATATACCATCCTCTGATATACTGTGTATTTTGCTTTTTTTTTTTTTTGGTGAGACAAGGTCTCACTTTGTCACCCATGCTAGAGTGTAGTGGTGCAATGTTGGCTCACTGAACCTCAACCTCCCGGGTTCAAGCGATCCTCCCTCCTCAGCCTCCTGAGTAGGGACTACAGATGTGTGCCACCATGCCCAGCTAATTTTGGTATTTTTTGTAGAGATGGGGTTTCACCATGGTGACCAGGCTGGTCTCGAACTCTTGAGTTTGAAGAATCCGCCTGCCTCGGCTTCCCAAAGTGCTATGATTATAGGCATGAGATACTGTTCTCTGCCTATATTTAGCTTTATA